ATCCAGCTCTGCACCTTGTTATCTCTGGGTGCAATTGGACCTTGATCAGATGGACTGATTGGCCAAGGAGTGGAATTTAATTTAGATAAATGTGAGGTACTGCATTTTGAAAAGGCAAATCAGGGCAGGATCGTATGCTACATGGTAGGGTCCTGGGGAGTGTTGCTGGACAAAGAGACCTTGGAGTGCAGGTTCATTGTTGCTTGAAGATGGAGTCGCAGGCAGATAGAATAGTGGAGAAGGTGTTTGGTATGCTTGCATTTATTGGCCAGTGCATTGAGTATAGGAGTTGGGATGTCATATTGAGGCAGTACAGGACATTGGTTAGGCCACTTTTAGAATACTACATTCAATTCTGCTCAAAAACAAAGTTGCTGGAAAAGCTCAGCAGGTCTGGCAACATCTGTGGAGGAGAAAACAGAGTTAACGTTTCAGGTCCGGTGACCCTTCCTCAGAACTGATGGTGGCTGGGAAAACGTCAGTTTATATGCAGAAAATAGAGAGGTGGGTGGGGTAGGGAGTAAATGATAGGATAGAGCCCAAAGAGAGAGAAAGACAGTTGGATAGACAAAGCAGTTGCTAACGATCAGGCTGGGAGGGTGAATAGTTGTTAATGGGGACTGTTGGTGACTAACAACAGGGGGTGTGTAGTGGCAGGCTATGTGGTAACAAGGCCTGGTCTGTGGGGTGGGGGGCTGGGACATGGGAGAGTTTAGGCCCTAAAATTATTGAACTCAATATTGAGTCCGGAGGGCTGTAGGGTCCCCAAGCGGAAAATGAGATGTTGTTCGTCCAGCTTGCGCTGGGCTTCACTGGAACACTGTAGCAAGCCGGAGACGCAGATGTTGGCCAGGGAGCAAGGTGGTGCATTGAAGTGGCAGGCAACAGGTAGCTCAGGGTCTTTTTTGCGAGCACAACGTAGATCTTCTGCGAAGCGGTCGCTAAGTCTACGCTTCGTTTCCCCAGTGTAGAGGAGACCACATTGCGAGCAGCAAATGCAGTAGACTAGATTCTTGGAAGCGCAGGTGAAGTGTTGCCCTCTCTCTCTCCCTCTCTCCCGGCTCTATCCTATCGTTTACTCCTTACCCCACCCACCTCCCTATAAACTGACGTTTTCCCAGCCACCATCAGTTCTGAGGAAGGGTCACCAAACCCAAAACGTTAACTCTGTTTTCTCCTCCACAGATGCTGCCAGACCTGCTGAGCTTTTCCAGCAACTTTGTTTTTGTTCCTGATTTACAGCATCCGCAGTTCTTTTGGTTTTTATTCAGTTCTGCTCTCCCTGCTATAGGAAGGATGTTGTGAAACTTGAAAGAGTTCAGAAAAGATTTATAAGCTTGTTGTCAGGTTTGGAATGTTTGAGCTAGAGGGAGAGGCTGAATAGGCTGGGCCTGTTTTCCCTAGAGCATTGGAGCTTGAGGAGTGACCTTAGAAGTTTATAAAATCATGAGGGGCATAGATAGGGTGAATAGCCAAGGTCTTTCCCTAGGGTAGCAGAGTCCAAAACTAAAGGTATAGGTTTAAGGTGAGAGGGGAAAGATTTAAAAAGGACCTGAGGGGCAACTTTTTGGGTGGTGCAAGTATGGAATGAGCTGTCAAAGGAAGTGATGGTGGCTGGTACAATTGCAACATATAGAACCATCCAGTTGCCTTTTAAGAACAGGAAGGGTTTAGTGGGATATGGGACTAGATTAATTTAGGGTATCTGGTTGGCATGGACGTGTTGGACTAAAGGGTCTGTTTCCATGCTGTATGGTGCTGACTCGAAGAGGCTTGGAATGATTGCTATAGCGGCTATGAAAACACAAGTCAGGGGAGTTGGATGAAAATCTAGTAAATATTGGACTTCATAAGTTTTTTGTTGTTGAACTCTTGAACATTGGAGAGAAAAAAACAGTTAACGCTTTGAGTCCACTAAACATTTGTTTTTCTCTCCGCAGATGCTGCCAGACCTCGAGCTAGTCCAGCATTCTGTTTGTTTCAGATTTCCAGTATCCATAGTATTTTTGCTTTTATTACATTATTCTAGAATGTGGACTCTGCACATTCATATGCTTCATGCTCGCTTCCTCCTATTAATCCTGTTTCGTCTCTCTTGTCATGACTTCTATCTGGAGATTGCGCTGTGCACCTTTGTTATGGAGCATTGGCTTTTGTACCAGCTCTTGGTTGGGAGTAGTCCAAACTGTAAACATTGCATTATCAATATCTGTAACAGCTAAACGACTTTGCAGTTTTTAATTCTGTAATAAATAGTATTTTTTATCTTTCCACCAGTTTTTTGTCCCCATTCTTTGTTCAGTCCTCTTTTGTTTCAGGCATCATGTAGCATACTGTTGTAGATTGGAATTTGGAAAGAACATATAAAATGAAGAATGTGATGTGTAGGTGAGATTATTAGGGTGATGGAAATTGTCAGACACTTTTAAGGCCTTTTTTTAACAATAACATTTGGTTTAATTTGAACACAACAAATGTTTGGAGAGATTATCTTAAGTAACTAGAAACGAAGCAAACATTGGGGTAAAGGAAGGGGCTGCGGAGGAAACGTATAACCAATCCGTCTGAGAAATAGAGATAACAAGGTGTGGAGCTGGATGAACACAGCATCAGAGGAACAGGAAGGCTGACGTTTCGGGCCTAGACCCTCAATGTCAGCCTTCTTGCTCCTCTGATGCTGCTGGGCCTGCTGTGTTCATCCAGCTCTACACCTTGTTATCTCAGATTCTCCAGCATCTGCAGTTCCTACTAAGTCTGAGAAATAGGGAATTTGTAGCAGGAGGTGGTGGTGGGATCTAAAAGTTTTACATCTGGAGATGGTCACAGAAATGGAGGAGAGCAGGATTATGGAGAACTTGAAAACACAACTTTTAAACTTAAGTATAAGCTGTTCAAATGTGGAATTTTTTTCCACTTTTGGATTAAATTATCTTATCTTATAAGATTAAAGTTACCTCCTATCGATTGCAAAATGGTACTATTCCACTCAATCTGCTTTAATTTGTATGAAATTATTGCTAACTACGATCTAAATTTTAATTTGGTTGGCTGCATCTTGTGAAGTGCTGTACTCTGCAATCTTGGCCTTGGTAATGGGCTCCAAAATCTCACCGATGGCTGCTGTCAAGCTAACCAGCCTGTAATTTGTCTTCTGTCTCCCTTTCTTCTTAAACTGGGGTGTTAGATTAGCCATTTTCCAGTTCTCTGGGACCCTTCCTGACTCCAGTGATTCCTGAAAAATCACCACAAATGTTTGTACAATCTCTTCAGCTATCTCCTTCAGAACTCTGGGCTGTAGTCCATCTGGTCTAGGTGATTTATCCACCAACACCGCTTTCGGCTTCCCCAGCACCTCCTTAATGATGGCCAGTACACTAACCTCTACCCTACTGAATCTCTTGAGTTGAAGAGATGTGAAGAAGTGAGAAGTAGTATGATTTTTAAGAATGGAGGTCTGTCTTTAATTGGATCATGTGAATTGACATGTTTTAGTAGCAAAGGAACATGGCTTCAATGTTAGACAAATTTTGGTGTGTTTGTGCTTCTGTCTATTATCTAAGTGTACAGGCCCTTTAGGGGCTTACTCAACCTAGAGTGTGAAAGGCTAGCTAACTTCTGATCTAATAAGAGTCTTGTAGAGTGCATCAAATGTAGGTTATTGCTTCTCTGCAACTATTAACAACCTAGAGTCTATTCCTATATTGCTGTAAGGGCTGTTGGAAGGATCAAGCGTTGGGTCTGTCACCCATGAATTCCTACTTTCCTCTTCTCAAACCAAGTCCTTGTGACACCATTGCAGTGGGCAGTGCATATCATGATCATGTATTAATCCTTTATAAAGTCACAGAACATTATGCTTCCAAAAAATTGTTTTCCTTTTGTATTCTAGTAAAGTCTTCCCTTGTTTTGAGTGTAGGACCAAAGCAATCTGTTGACCATGGAAAGCTGTACACTGTTTCAGTTACAAATCATGACTTGTAATGGATGAATAAATGCTTTCAGCATATTTGTATACTGCATGCATATGCTGGAAAGGAAAAATACATTTAATTAGCACTCATTCTCAAAATGGGATCTCAACTTGTGCAAAGGATTAATGCTTTGTTGTAACATCTAATGCAAAAAGTAGAACTGCTGATAATACAACACTCCCTTAGTGCATTTAACGGTTAGCTTTTGACTTGTATATCCTCTGATCACTAGAAGAGTCTGAATCCACTACCTTTTCCCCCTAAGTATGAATGTAACTGAGACAAGACTGCTGCTTTAAAAGGAACTGCTCACATTTTGGTGGTACTCTTAATGCCTCAACCTGATGTCCTAATAAAATAGGTTATGCCACACAATATATTTCTTAAATGTTTTTCTTGAACAGCATAAACTGATATGGCTGTAACTAATATTATGACAAGGTTTTTTGTTACTGCATTTCAGTAATTGTTCTCAGTGCACAGAGTTTATGCAGTGATTAACTCAAACTTATAGACCAAGTACATGTAAGCTTGATCCCCTTATGCTGCATTAGGTTAACAGACTGGAGGAAACACTAAGTGCTACAGATTTCTTTGAAAAGATTCCTTCACTGCAGTTCCATGACTACTCCTGCAAGTGCAAATCTGTATTAAAGAAATTCAACTGGGTGCAATTTCTCCCCCAGGCCAATTCTACATGTCATCCCATCAAGGTAGCCTGGATTCACTGAAATAATAGCTGGGTGAGATATTGGATTATGTCTATGGAAATGGACCCATAAGATAGTTTTGCAATCAAGAGTGAAAAGTAAATTGAGAGGATGGTGGGAAGGGAGAGGAGATATCCTCAAGTTGTGAATCATGGACGTGCGGCTAATCCTGATTTTTAAAATTAGCAGTTACCAAGGACATTCTGCAACAAAGACTTAGACTTGTACTGCAGTACATGCAGACATTTTATTAAAAGGTATAATAAAATCAAATTTGACCTAGGAATGTCAGTCTCTGTTATAGTGAGGGGAGAGGCAGCATAATATGTCTATTCATGCTTCTGTGAAATGAAGTGAATTATGTTGCTTTTAATGTAACTTTTTTTATTTAGTTGAAAAGGATAATTATGGGAGTCTTAACCTATGTTATGTTACACATATTGTCGATAGAATAAATAGACTGGGTGATTGCCATGTTTTTCCTCTATTGTAATCTGGTATGTTCTCATTATGTCAGTTCTACTTTGCACATGATTTCACTGGGATAAGAGTGGATTTCACTGAAGTCATCTAGCATAATTGAGCAGATTGTTGGCTGTACTTAGTGCAGAATTTATCTATTGTAGGATACATGAAAAACATTCAGTTCGGATCTAGCTGTTCTTTGACTACACTGTAAGATATACAGCTATGGGAAAATGGAAATGAAATCAGTGATCTGAATATGAATTGTTCAATTATCGTGTGATCAATGTTATACCTTTTATTTCCCCCCTACCTATTTTCTTTATGTAGTATGTTTCTTGTTCCAGGCAGAAAATCACAAAGTGTTTGAGTGCATTTTTTTTGAGGGAGTTACAATGCAAGAGAAATCTTTTCATATCCTGACTCTAACTTCCAAAGTGCAACTGCCTTTATATAAATTGTGTAACAGACCAGACCAGGAAGTCTAGGGAAAAAAAATGTTGAAATCTGAAAATCTTTTGAGATTTTCAATATGCATTAATACATTATTTCACTCAGATTATAACAACATAAATTATCTTTTGCATAATAAATGTATTATCTTTAACGCAGGAAAAAGATCTCTTAGCACTGTATAAAGGCTGAATCAGGTAGGACTATAAGAAAATAAATTGGATGAAAAAATGTAATAGTGTAGTTTATATTAAGAGAAGTGGTAGCTTAGGGAGTTTCCAATAAGTAACTTTCCCAATAAGGTCTGTACTTCTGTTATTTTCTATTTTCATGCCCCAATTTTAAGGTCTTGTGACTTGAGAGAAAATGCAGTGCAATGCACAAAGGATGTTGTTCCTTGTGATAGATTCACAGTTTTGAGTATCTAAGGTTTTGGAGTAGATTTGCAGCTCGGGTTGGCTCGCCGAGCTGGCTTGTTGTTCCACAGACGTTTCGTTACCGTGCTTGGTAACGTCCTCAGTGCAGCCTCTGATGAAGTGTCGGTGTGTTTTCCCGCCTGGCTTTTAAACTCTGGGGTCCGTTGCGATGGATTGCCTCACTTCCGGGTTTCCTTCGTAGTGGAATGTATATGGGTCAAGTTCAATGTGTTTATTAATAGCCTGCTTCGTGGAGTGCCATGCTTCCAGGAATTCTCGTGCTTGTCTCTGCCTAGCTTGTCCCAGTTGAAGTCGTGGTTCTCCTTGTCCATGTGGATTGAGATGAATGAGTATTGGTCGTGTCTTTTTGTAACCAGTTGGTGTTCATGTACTCTTGTTGTTAGTTTCCTTCCTGTTTGTCCGATTGTAGTGTTTCTCGCAGTCTCTGCAGGGGATCTTGTAGATGATATGATAAGTGCTTCCCCGAACTAAAGACCCACTCCCTGCCATGGACAGGACCAGTGTCATCTACAAGATCCCCTGCAGAGACTGCGAGAAACACTACAATCGGACAAACAGGAAGGAAACTAACAACAAGAGTACATGAACACCAACTGGTTACAAAAAGACATGACCAATACTCACTCCTCTCAATCCACATGGACAAGGAGAACCATGACTTCGACTGGGACAACACCAAGATCCTGGGACAAGCTAGGCAGAAACAAGCACGAGAATTCCTGGAAGCATGGCACTCCACGAAGCAGGCTATTAATAAACACATTGAACTCGACCCCATATACATTCCACTACGGAGGAAACCCGGAAGTGAGGCAATCCATCACAACGGACCCCAGAGTTTAAAAGCCAGGCAGGAAAACACACCGATGCTGCATTGAGGATGTTACCAAGCACGGTAATGAAACGTCTGTGGAACAACAAGCCAGCTCGGCGAGCCAACCAACCTCAAGTCTTGAGTATTTACTCTGGTAAAATTTCCTAAATGTTTGAAAAGATGTTTTACGCAGTTACTGGGGTGATAATTCCACCTATAGCTCAGCTACAGTTTCTAAAGTACTTGAGTGGCCTTTAGGATTGTAACAATGGGTCAAAGAAATTGACGAGTTATCAAAATACCACTAAATGTGATACCTTAATTTTGAAACCTCTGCCTGCCTTGATTCCACGGGTTTTATTGATGCTTCTAATCATCTCTGGTTATGCTACTACAGTTTTGTCTGTTGCACACTTAACTAAATGATTGCCTTGTGTGTTTCAGCTTTTAAAATTCTTTGTCAGACCCCATCTGCAATACTGAGTTCAGTTGACCACCTCACGAGGGCAGTTGATACTGTAGGTGGCGTAACACCGATTCAACAAAGGAATATGGGGGTTAAGGAGTAAATTGTAAAGGATAGTTATATAAACGTGCATGTTTTTCTTTTGAGTATAGAAGGTTGAGAGATGAACTGATCAAGGTGTTTAAGATGGTAAAACATTTGAATTTAATGAATAAAACAGTTTAAGTTCTTGTGGGGGAGGGGGGCATGTGTAGAAAAGCAGCATATAAGCTTAAATGTAAACCAGACTCTTCAGCATTGATATCAGGAAGTACTTTGTACAAATTTTACAATGGTAGTAAAAGTCTTGTATTCTCCTTATGTAGAAACCCCACCTGATCAAAATCTGTGCTTGTTGAGACAGTTAAAGCTTTCAGTATAGAAATGGCTAGATTTTCATTAGGTAAGGGGATCAGTGGATGTGGATCAGAGTTGATAAATGTAGTTGCACAGTTCAGCCACAATGTAATTGAATGGAGGTATAGGCTTGAGGGGCTGAATGGATTGCTGTCATTTCTATGCTGCCCATCAAAGACTTACATTTATATTGTCATCATTGGTTGCCCCTTGATTTGAGGATGATGTGTATTCGGAGTTGCAAGTTTCTGCTGTGGATCTTTGCATGTCCAAACTGGCTGGCTGTTGACCATAGATTTTTTTCGGCACGTTGAGAAAGTATCCCATGTGGAGTGGCATCTGGAGTGCAGGATTTTCTTCCTTTCTGCTCTTCCCTGTCACCATCTTGCTTCACCTTCAAGGTGTATGAAGTTTTATCATATTTAGTACCACATAATATCATGCACACAAATTTGTTACTCCCACTCACTAAACACATCCTAGATGCAGAATATCATCACCTTCACATGTTGCATTTACACAACAATAGAATCTTGTAGCACCAGTTGGATGCACTTTTGTAAATTACTAATCAGCAAAAGATCTTTCACATTTACAAGTATTATTGAAAAATTGCTTCCAGTCTTGAGAGAGCCCCACACTTACTATATTTAGTTACATGTAACATGTAAATGGTCCGTTAGAACTAACTGTTAGTAGATGTAATGTTTGACTGCTAGTTTTGGCCTTCTGCCTTTTCTATTCTTGCTCTGCTTTTAAAAATAAATCCATTTCTGAAAATGGATCTTTGGTTACTGTTCTTTGGAGACTTTTTCATATTTAAGCTTTTAAACTCCGTGTATACAAAAGGTTTTACTGAAGTGCAGCTTCAGTAGTGTAATGCTACTGTTAGAGTATTCCTGCTTAGTTAACATCTCCGATCGTTAAGTGTGAACTATAACTACTACAAATCCTTAAACTTAAATATCATGTCTGGTTAGCGCCCTGCTACATGTACAGAAGCCAGCTAACTAACACCAAAGATACCAAATGTACCAAACTTCCTAGTAATGCAGAGATAGACTAATTATTAGTCCTGGTGAGCCTCGTTGGGCCTCTTAGAAGTAAGATTGCTGTGGAAAGAGGACAAGGCATTATATTTGCACCAGGGGACTGGTCAAACGATGTACTTGAGCTTTTAAAAATGTGGCATTGGAGAATAATGGGAAAAGCAAAGTAGCTTTGATGCAAGAACCATTTCAATAAACTGTATACAAGTATATTCTTGACCTAGTCCCAGTCATGCTAATTTTGCTATTACATATACAAACTGATCTGACCTGGTAATGCCATTAGGTTTTGATTTATGTAACATTAAATAATACTGTTGAATTATATAGGAAATTGCAGTTTGGGCACTGTTAGTAGGTTACAGCTCTCAAGAACATACTTCACTGTTACCACAACTTGCAAGATTTATTCAGTTTAGAATGGTGCTGTACCCTCCAGCCTTTTAAATAAAATGTGTTGGAATGCACACTGCTTTCTTTCACTCCTACTTGAATGGGTCCTTAGTATTTCACACCAAGGTGTCCTTCAGGGTGCTGGGTCAGGCTACCAAAACAGCTTCTATGAAGGGATTAGAACCAATTAACATCTTTGTACACAAAAGCTGCTGGCAGCTGAACAGGCGGCCTTGTGACCTGCTCAGGAGCTGCATGTTAAACAGGGGGTTGTGTACTTGAGCTCAAGTGGGGAAGGGGTGGAGAGAGTTTTTATTTATAATTGAAATGGTGTTTCCTGATAGATTTTTGGGGAAAAATAATCGTACCAAATTAAGTTGTGCAATGAAAAATTCAAAACCTGTATTTAATTTCAAAGAAATGCAAAATGTGTTTTTATTAAATTGAACACTTTAGATTTAGATTACTTTAGAATATAAAGTAACAATCCACTTGGAAAATGACATACTTTCTTGTTGTGCTAAATATTTCAAATTTTAGTATTTAATGAAGTTTCCATGTCAATGATGCCTTAACAGTACAATAACAAAATTTCAGCGGTGTTTGTTTCTGTCTGAATCAAATGTTTAATTTGTTCAGCCAGTTGGATAAATTATTGTACTAAATAATGTAACCGTCCCAATAAAGTTATGTTGAATTATGAAATGCACTATTTTCAATGACTTTAAGTTTATTGCTATAAATGGTACCTCTTCCCTTTTTTACTGCAATACCTGGTTAATCTATTTCTCCATTGGGCATTGTTCGGGTTTAATTGTCCGTTGTTGAGTAGTTACACTGAAGATCTCTCTCGTGACAAATTGGTGCTTTTAAAAAAAATCCAAGCCAGACTAGGAAGACTGTTAAAGATGAAAGATCCACTTGAATTGATTAACCTGAAGCTTTTGAAAAATGATCTATTAATAGAATCAAATGTTTTCTGTTTAGGACTATTTAAAGTAGATTTAGCAAAATTACTTCCACAGTAAGTGACTGGATTATCTGCTTCAGGAGTATTCCCTAGTTTAACTGTTGTGCAACTTTTAAATGGAAACTAGGAATACTTTAGTTGATTGCAACACTTGTATGGTTTTCATGCTCGAGCAGTTTGCCTTGCTTCTCCCGATGTTTGCTTATTAGTGAATGAAATGCAGGTGTGTGGGAAACAGCAAGCGAACATTGACAGGTTTATTCTGTTGGCTGCAGCCTAATTAGTTGCATAGTGGATGCACCCCGCTAAGCTTTAGTGCACTGCAGTAGAGCTGGTCTGTTCTAATTTCCTTGCAGCTTTGATATCGGTGAAGAGATTGACGGATTGCACAAAAAGCAAAGCGTGATAGAGGCCTATCGAAACAATGCAGTTCTTACTTCAGCCACCACAGATGTGAGAGAAGGCTGATCAGAAACAAACGTCAACCATAGTCAAATTGTCTCCTGTGTCTGCATAGTTGATATTTTCCCATGTAAAGTTAAAAAAGGCAAGGTATTAGCCTCTATCCCACCCTTTACTGTTACTTCACCTGAGATAACTGTCCAAAGTTGCAGTTCAATACTAATAAGGCAATTTTCCACTTTGGTCATGTATCAAAATCGTGCTGCATAAATGTCCTTTTCCTGCAACTCAGTGAGACTTAGTTGACCACCCATAGAACAGTAATGTCATTGTGCCTACTCCATCAGACCAGCAATTGAAATGCTCTATGCATTTCATTTTTCATTCAGATCTATAAAACTGATCCCTGTAACATGCTGATGCAGAAGAGAAATCTTTTATTAAGGGAAAATCTTTTAGTAATCAGGCAACAACAAACAGATTTCGAAGAAACTGGATGTATTGAAAAGAGCTGTGTTGTTTTTTCCAGCATTAAATGACAATTGAATTCACATCCATATGTTTGCACGAACTGCATTTAATTTTATTTGCAATCTTACACTACACAATAGTTATAATAAGCACATTACTGATTTATTGTGAAATTGAATTTGACTACATTCCTGAATAAAGCTCTGATTATATTGTGAATTTTATTTTTAATAGCCTACAAGACAGTGTCTGGTGTTAATGGACCGTTGGTGATCTTGGACCAAGTGAAGGTATTTGTAACTTTAATTCTGAATACTAGTTGTATCTAGAAGTTTAAATTCTAACAAAATATTGACTAAAATGTTTTGCCAAGAAAGGTGATGCTGATATCAGCATTTCAATACAGTGCTTCTAAAACACTTTCTAATTAGCACCTATGCCCATTCAGTTAGTCTTTCTGCCACTGTACCTAAATACCTAAATTTTAGATGTTTAAGTGAGATGTCCTTTATCATTTGAAGTTACGCTGTTGCCAAGCAATAAAAATGCAAATAACTAATGAACATGTTTGAATCAGCATGTGTGTTGTGTTTTGAGCAGGAAGTGTGTGGAAATTAGGTGGATTGGAGTGGCAAGATCTAGCAATGTCTGACAGCATTTACAAAAATGAGCAGAAGCATTGTATGACTTTTAACTTCTGGTCATTCGTTTGGTGTAGACATTGCTGGAAGGACTAAAAATTATTGCCTCACCCCTAATTACCTTCGAAGGTGAGCCGCCATCAAACTTTTATAATCTGGTATGGATGTATCGGCCATGCTGTTAGTCCGGAAAGCAAAACAATTCTAGGTGAAGTTTGTTCTTTATCAGAAAGTTAGAATTGTTCAGCAACACTGTTTACTGTAGTGTTTATGTACAGTATGTGCTGTTAGTAAATTATTTCAACCCCCTGGAAATAGATTAGAACTTTCAAATATTCATATTGGATTAAAACAGAATTGAAGTTATATAATTTGTATTGATTCTCAGCTTTAAAAAATTTTTTCTGTTTCTTTGATCAGTTTCCAAGGTTTGCAGAGATTGTACACTTGACTCTACCTGATGGATCCATTCGAAGTGGACAAGTTCTGGAAGTTAGTGGCAGTAAGGCTGTTGTACAGGTAGGGATTTGTACTGAAATTATACAATACTGGAACAAATATGTAGTAAATTTATTGATTGTATTATCTAATCATTTCTAAAAGCCTTGTCTTGAAGAATTTGACAGGACTTTAACTAAAATTCAAGTGTCTCCGTCATATGAAAACTTGGGTTAGAATTCTGTTTCAAAACTAACAGTAACTCGTGAAATGATTTTGCTTCTAAGCATAACATAAGATGGAAGTGAAAGGAAATTCAGTTCCTGTAGCTGAGCTTGCCAAATTTGAAACCTCTGTCCTTTCTGGTTTGGTAAAAAATGGTCTCCTTTGTATTTACATTTTTCATTTATCACTTGTCTCGTTTTACACCAGAATTTTATTGATTGTTAACAATATTATTATAATTTAAAATACAGTACTATTTCAATCCATCTTCTTTGGTCAAAAACCTTAGTCCTTTTGACCTTTAATATTGCCACCATGTCTTGAAAGCAATATTTACCATGACTAGTTTCATTATTTTCCTTAAATGATTTGTTTCACATTTTCATCTGGCCAGTTCCCAATCTAGAGGTTTATGCTGGCATGTAATCCTGTAGATTAAGCACTTTACTAACTTGGCAGCACACTGAGTCTGCATAACCAGGGCAAACTGGCTATTCGTGTGGGTGGAAATCACAGTGCGAAGGGCATTACTTGGCTTGAGTGCACAATTTGTTGTATTCCATTTGGTGTTCCAGTCCATTTTTAATCCTAATCTGGGATCCAGAGTTATCATCACTGCCCTAACTGAGAACCCAGCTAGTTTATCAAAGATGAAGGACTAAACCTGAAGTCGTCTTCATATGGCTGTTTTTACAATGCATTCACCAAACAATTGAGACCCTACCAGTGTAATCTGGTGTCTGTGTTCATTCTTTGGATTTACCCTGGATTTGTATGCATTCATTATTCCATAGAAACCAGAAACTAGGTCAAGCAGCCCTTCGAGCCTGCTCCACCATTCAGTAACATCATGGCTTATCTGATTTTAACCTTAACTCTGCATTCCTGCATTTTCATAGATTTTTGATTATCAACCTTTGCAGACTTCCCAACTTCAACAGCTCCTTGTCTGCTTCTGCTGTCATCACTACATACTGTTCTTTTCCTGCATTGACATTAGTTCTTTCTCCATGTCGTGTTAGCCTCACTCTTGCATTGGTTTTTGCCTGTTAACATTATCTAGTTATCCAAAAACGCCACTTTAAAAATCTTAAAATACCATGTGATTTCTATTTTAACTTATTCATTGGTCAGTTAAGACAGGAAGAAACTCCGCTGACATTCTGTTCTATCACGACTGATTTTGTACTTTGAATCCCTACAGTGCAGAAAGACGTCATTCAGCCTATCAAGTCTGCACAGACCCTCTGAAGAGCATCCCACCCAAACTCCCAGTCCCCTCCCTATCTGTGCATTTTTCCATGGCTAATTCATCTTGCCTATGCATCCCTAGACACTCTGGTCATGCTAAATTGTCCGATCTACCTAAACCTGCACAACTTTGGACTGTGGAAGGTAACCAGAGCACCTGGTGAAAACCCATGCAGACATAGGAAGAACATGCAAACTCCATACAGTCACCCAAGGCTGTAATTGAACCTGGGTCCCTGGTGCTGTGAGGCAGCAGTACTAACTACTGTGCCACTGTTCTGCCCAAATTTAACTCAACTTCAACTTCAACTCTTTCCTTGCTGTTTCTCAATATACTTTGATATTCTTATCTAACAAATTTTTTAAACTTGTCTTAAATTTTCGATTGGCTCAGCATGCACGTTTTTTCCAAAAAGTTTCTGATTTCAACTACTTGATGGATGAAAAAGTGCCACTTGATTTCACTCTTAAATTGCCTAGGTCAGACTGTAATGAGATTGGTAGGGAATTCAAAACAATGTGGTTCAGAGGAAATAGTTTATCCCTCTTTGCCTTATCTAATTGTTTTAATACTTTCAACACCTCAACCATATAAACTTGAAGAAATATAGCCAAAGCCAGCTTTGTCATTTTTGTAATTCAATCTGCTTCAGATGAAAACCAGTATTCTTTTAAGATTGCTTTTTGGACTAATGCACTAGTGTTTAGAGATTTGTGTATTTCTTAATTTGAATTAGAATTTTCAGTATGATGAACCTTGTTTGTAAGAAGCTAGCTAATTATCTAATAAATGATATTTAAACAGGACTTTTGAATATACCAAATGTCCCAATGTGAACTATCTAATAAAAGTATTTGTAGAACTAGTGTTGAGCCACAGCGGACTAGAGGCTTGAAGTACAAGTTGAAAAACATGGTTTTAATTTTTTTTTAAACAGGGGGGTGGCACGGTCGTTCAGCGGTTAACATTGCTGCCTCACAGCACCAGGGACCCGGGTTCGATTCCAGCTTTGGGTGACTGTCTGTGTGGAGTTTGCACATTCTCCCTGCGTCTGCGTGGGTTTCCTCCAGGTGCTCCGGTTTCCTCCCACAGTCCAAAGATGTGCAGGCTAGGTGGATTGGCCTTGCTAAATTGCCCGTAGTGTTCAGGAATGTGTAGATTAGGTTGGTAATTTGGGTATGGGTCCGGGTGGTATGCTCTGAGGGTTGATGCGGACTTGTTGGGCCGAAGGGCCTGTTTCCACACTGTAGGGATTCTATGATTTTAGAAACAAAATGTAGGGATTTAAGGAAGAGTTCAACTTGAGCTGAGATGACCAATAGCTGCCGAAATAGTGGTAGGTTAGAGGAACTGCATATGAAGCTGAATTCAAGGACTGAAGGCAGTGGAATTTAATAGATGGTTGGTGAATAGTGCAAAGCCATTTTGCATTTGAAGTTGGAGATGAGCATTTTCAATTCATTTAAGAAAGTGGCCAATAGGAATTGATGCTAATAATGATGGCCCTACCCTTTTTTCAGATCATTCATGAAGAATTATACTAGAATAGTTTCTATAAAATAGAAACATAAATCAGTTTCCGTCAACAACTATATTATTCTTTTGTGTTTGAAATGTTTTACAACCTTTTTTAATCATGCTTGTGGGAAATCTGGAGTAAAATTCATAGATACCAAAAGTATCTGGTCAAGTTTATCTAAAACTATCACTTTTTTTAATGTTTGGTATATTTGACAAACTCATATCTCACTCGGAATGGAAAATCACCACAGATAATCCTGCCACTCCCCACCCTGTCTCTTCTGCACCTTTTCAAGGGCCATCACAACCTTTCCAACATGTGGTAACTGGAGCTGGGTGCAGTATTCTAGTTGTGGCCTCAACAGAGCCCCAAAAACTTGCAGCATAATTTCCCTGCCTTTGTACTTGTTACTGGCATTTATGAAGCCTACAATCCCATATGCTTTGGTAATTACTCTCGTATGTCCTACCACCTTTTAAAGATCTATGCATATATACTCCCAGTCCCTCTGCCCGTCACATTCTTTACAATCTACATATATGTGCCCATTTTAAACGCAAATTGATCAGTTGAGCTAGCATCCACTGCACTTTATTTTTTCAGGAGGGGTTTCCACCACCCTTTATATGAAGAAATGTTTCCTGAATGGTGGCTCTCACTTTGGGTTTATGTTCTTTGTCTTGTATTCCTGTCATCTATAAATTTCCTTTCTATCTATCAATCCTAAAAAGAAGTGTAGTTTGTAGAATCTTTCCTCGTGATCTACACCTTGAAGTTCTGGTCATATTGTGGTGAAGAATGCTGGAACACTTCATGCATTTTTTTTAAAAGTGTACTTTTATGTTTTATTTTCATTGTGTATAGGTTTTTGAGGGGACATCAGGTATTGATGCCAAGAAAACAGCCTGTGAATTTACAGGTGATATACTTCGCACACCTGTTTCTGAGGACATGCTTGGTAAGTAGATTCTGTCCTCCATGGGAAGTTGATATTCCAGGAACCTTTCTTCATATGTCTATGACATTAACGATTTATATTGTCGTTGAAGTATGAAGGATATCCCTGTTGTGCCCCTCAAATATTAATGCATTATTATCTTCTAATAAAGAATAGTTGGCTACTGTCATCTTTCAATATTGGTGCTCTATTTATCTCTATTTAATTTATTGCATATCTTAATGCTTTCAATTATCTGCATTTCATTTTTGTACTTGTTTGAAAGCTGTATTTGAAACTACATTATACGCAACGTCTTTTAAATTTAATTTTAAAATTGCCTAATGATTAATGGTAATTAGAATATTCTGGATTTTTAAAATGATGCAGAAATTTGAATAAGATTACATTTTTTTGTGGCTGGAAACTAAATTGTATTTATTTGGTTTTGAAACCTCTCTTTGCTAACTTAAGAGTCAGTGATTGAATAACACTTGAAGAAACTTCAAACTGGAAAGATAATTATATAAGGGACAGTCTCCATCTATTCGGTTTCATTTGAGTTTGAATAAAATACTGCTAAGTGGCTTCTACAAGTTTATTTTTCAAAAAAGGAAATGTGACAGCCTCACAGAGCATTTTTGATTATGCGCATAAGATAAAAACATTAACACGGACCAAGTTTTAATTTATGTAACTGGCTCTGGAGTGACACCAGTGGACTCCAGTTTTTGTTTAATATGGTTCCGTTGATTTAAGATGCAAGGTAAATGTACATGTCAGTTAAAGAAAATACAATGTAGAGTTTTCTGCTCCAATCTATTATGAATGAAAACATGAATGCAAATTGGTGTGGGAGTCAGGGTTTGGACTAGGTGATGTGTGCAGGAAAGCAAAACTAGAATTCAAGTGGAGTAAATAGTCTGTTTATGTTGCTGCAATTTGTAATTGATTTTTCTTGAGTAATTGTTTGTAGCTGTAATTTTGATGATGATTGCATGCAAGAAAGCTATTATGTTAATCATGAGTGATTTTAAACTGTGTAGATTGGGAAACACAGAAAATATTTCACATAGGAAACAGAAATAGTCCATTCTAAGCAGGCCTTAGAAAACAAGAAGAGTATGTACGAGCTTGCTCCACCATTCAGTATGATCATGGCTGATCATCCAACTCTGTATCCTATTCCTGTATTTGCCCCATATGCTTTGACGCCTTTAGTCTTAGATGTTTGAGCGGTGATCTTATGGAGGTTTATAAAGTCATAAGGGGTATAGATAAGGTGAATAGTAAGGGTATTTTCCCTAGAGTAGGGGAGTTCAAAACTAATAGGCATATTTTGAAGATGAAGGGAGACGATTTTTTTTTTAAAAACTAACTTTTTTTACTGAGCGATTTGTGTGTGGAATGAACTGCCAGAGGAATTTGTGGATGCAGGTATAGTTATATCATTTAAAAGACATTTGTCTAAGTACATGAATAGGAAAGCTTCGGACAGATGTGGGCCAAATGCAGGCAAGTGGGGCTAAGTTAATTCGGGAACATGGGCGGCGTGAACTAGTTGGACCAAAGGATCTGTTTCTATGCTGTATGACTCTAGTTATATCTAACCCTTGAACTATAAAATTGGCAGAGGTAGCATATGCAAGAATCAGTAGTGTATTTTGGAACAGTTGCCTAGAACGGTATATTGAGCCAGTCAGGGATCAGGCTATTTTGGATTTGATGACACACATTAAATAAATGATCTCAAACTAAAAGATCCCCTAGGAAACATTGCCATGGACAGTGTAGAATTCAACATGCAATTTAAGGGATAAACTTGATTGGGAAACAAATGTGCTAATTTTAAATAAGCAAAATAAAAATCGAATGAAATTGGAAATAGAGTGC